GCTACTCTGGCCACCATGACTCAGCCTGGCCATCAGCCACCATTAGCACTTGGAGAGTCTCTCGCAGGGACAGCTGTCTGCAAGCCTGCCTGCAGACAAGGTAAGGCTGACTAAAGCACAGACCAAACAGTGCCCTCGTGTGATGTGCTCTTAGATGTGGGGCAAATTTGGATAGTGAGAGTAGAGGGTAGAATTCATCAGGTGTCTGGTCTTTAGAGTCAAATAGCCATAGGTTTGTAGCCAGTCCTATCACTTATTTGCTGCAAGAGCCTTGTCGTCTGTAAAATGATGTAACCACACCCAACCCAGTGGAGACATTCTGAGGACCAAATGAAATAAGGTGTGGAAGGTCTGACATGGGGCTCTAGCCTCCAGCAGGGGCTCAGAAAGCATTACTTTCCTTTTCTAGTCTCCATGCTGTGTTCCTGTGCTTGCTGTTTCTTCCTCTTGAAAAGCCATTATCATGTTCCTTACTATCAAACTCCTACCCATCCCTCAAAACCCAATTCAATTCCTCTTCCTACATGAAAGCTTTCTGGTCCATCCAGCCAGACAGACCCACCACTTCCTGCTCACAACTTCCAGAATACATTACACAGGGCCATTGGGCCCTGCCAAGGGAGGAGGATCAGGGAAGGCCTCCTGGAAGAAGAGACATTCAAGCAGAGACCTCAAAGAAGGAGCAGGCAAAAAGGAACGAGCAGAGCATTCCAGACAGTGTGAACCATGTGTGCCAAGGTCAAGAAGCCAGAGACAGCTTGGGGGATGAGAGGAATTCAAGTCCTATACCAGGGGCCTTCCCTGACCACTCTAGCTAAAAGAGCAACTCTATTCTTCATTGTCACCCTGCATGGATTTTCTTCACTACCAGCCAATCACATTATGTGTTTATTTGTTGATTGCTGTGTCTCCAACTGGAATTTTAAGCTCACTAGAGCAGGCACCTTCTCTTCTTCACTGACTTCTGTGTCCTCCTCATGGCTCATTATCACTGCTAGTTTAACAACTGCTAGATCCTGAGTTCCAAGACAGAAATTTGGGTATCTAGTTCTGTATTACATCCCCACCACAGGGCCAAGACACAGTAGGACCTTAATGAATATTTCTGATCAAATAAATATTGCCCAGAAGAGATATTCAACTCCTCAGTGAATAAATGCAGGAATGGATGAGTGAATGCAGGTAGGCATGGATATATACACACAACACATGAATTGATTAATTCATGCATGAATACAGCTCTCACATTCATATCATCAAAGCCCAGAGGCTGACTCTGAGCTGCCCCACTTGGTCTTGTTAAGCTTCAGAGGTTTCTATCTCATCTTGGCCCTGGCCATTCAAAGCTTCTTTTCTTATCCACAGCAGCCGCGTTTCCATTGTCATAAGGGGCAGCAGGCCATTTCCCTTAAGCCCCTCTGTTCTGAGCCCTGGGAGCTCACCAGATTCCCAGCCCTCTTGGAGGAGGTCGGCTGACCCTGGTGCCTGGACCTCTTCTCATTGTAAGACATTTTTACAGGAGCCTTCTATGGGAATTGTCAGCATTCCATTCTCTCAGAGAGTGGGCTGTGTATTTGGCCCGTTTTTTATTAATTGCAAATTAATGCTGTGCTGGGTGTCTATTTTAGTAGACATGCTTCCAGAGTGCGGAATGCAGCCCAAAGCAGCACATTGCTCTCATTCTTTCTGCTGACCGACTGTGTGAATATTTTTAGAAGCCACACCCTCTCGCAGTGGCCAGATAAATAATTTCCAAGGCCAGATGTGCTCTCTGCAAATCCACATCAGGCAGGGAAGGGGAGAGGAATGAGCTACATGGCTTTCCCCACCATCGCAGCGACATGTGACAAGTTTAAACCAGTAGCATTTATATAGGCTTTCTAGGCCAAAGTCCTCCACATTTGAAACGTGGAAAACGGATCCACACTTAGAGAGGCACCAGAGGGAGCTCCAAGAGAGGACCTTGCTGCTCATGTCCCGTTGGTTGGTGGCTCATGTGTCCGTGGTCCCCCAGGTCCAGACACGGATGGCAGGGGCTCTCTTGAGCATGGAGGCCAGCTTGTGGCCATGTGTCTGTCTGCCTTTGTCAGCAAGGGTCCTTTCTAAATATGTTTCAGCAAAATGCTGAGTCAGGAAGAGTTGAGCATATACCACCAGAAGACAAATCAAGACCAGCTGAATCACATTTTCTAAAACCTTGGAAGTGGATGCGAGATGATGAAAAGATAATTTGCCCGGAAGTCAAACACATGAGTTCTAATCCCAGCTCGTCATTCCTTTATTCCAAAGTCAAACCATTTTGAAGTACCTACTGTGTGCCAAGCACTAGTCTACACTCTGGGGAAGCAAAGACACAATAATTTAGTCTAGACTGAGTCACTGCGTGGTCATGGGCATTATCATCTAGACTCTCTGGGTCTAATCATTAAAACAAGGGGTTGGAAAATGACCCCCAAAGTTCTTTGAAGATGTAGATTCTCAGATCTGAGTAAGATTCCTTGAATAAGGAGGAAAGGAATTGAAAAGTGTTGATAATGGGAAGATCTGGTTTCTCTTTGGGATGTATGTGTGCATGCGTACCCATGCTTTACCGTGGGAAATGCCAGGATTAGAAATTCTTAAGGAAAAGTGTATGCCTAAGCCTTCATTGTTAATACTGTTTTGTGTGTGTGCTCTTTCCCTCCGTCATGCACAGGGACCCCAGGTTGAAGAACTAGGTGCAGGGGAACTGTCAGGCCCAACATCATTGCCCTTTTGCTTACACAAACGAAGCCATTCTTCTGGGCTCCTGCCTCACTGTTTCCCTGCACAACTGCTTTCAGAATTCTAATCATTCTTTTCCTCCATTAGGGAATTCTGTGATTGCATAGAAAGCTATGTGTCTTATCACTTCTGGGAATACATCATGGGACCAAGGGGTCACACTGCACCATAGAACCCAATCCCTAGGCAAGAGGCTCACATTCCAGGCCTTGTAAAGACGACATTTAGTTTTGAGCACTCTGGGGGCAGGTGGCAGGAAGAATCTGGAGAGGAAGTCAATAAGGTTGATGACACAAACCCTTAGAAAAATGTGGCCCTCAAGCCAGGACCAATTTTTCAGCCATGACCTGATCACCACTCCCCAGGACCTAGGCATCTTCAGAGCAGCTGACTTCCGGTTCAATTCCCTCTCCAGTGGCCAGCCACTTAAGCAGGCTCCCAGTATAGTAACAGTTAAACGTGAATTGCTTTGATTGTAGTATTGTCTAAAATCTTCACGTTTGTTATTGACTCCACAGGACTGGGCACAGGACATTGCACACAGTAACTGTTCAGAAAATATTCATCAAAAAAAAAAAAGAATAAACAATAATCTGCAGAGACAGGAACTGGCATCCCTACTTGACAGATGAGGAAACTAAAGCCTAAATCATCATGAAACTTACCCCAAATCCTGCCATTACTAAGGGACAGGGTTGCAATATCTAACTCCAAAGCCACTGCTTTTAACTTTGACTCATTCGGACACGAGTGCTTAGCAGTTTACAAAACTAAACACAGAATGTCTCATTCACTACTCTAAGCAGGCCTGTGGGTAGTACTGTTACCCTATTTTACAGTTGAGGAAACAGGGTTAAGTGGTTTTCCCAGTGTCAAGAAGCTAGTAAGCCACACAGCCTGGAATTTCCTAACTCTATAACCGGTGCTCCTTCTAGAATAATCCAACCACTTTGCCAGAAATAGACCCTGAGATTGCAGTTCCTATTGCCATGGAGAACTACTTCGACCAACTATTTCCTCCTTATTCTATGGACTGCATGTGACTACGGTCAACCACTCTTCAAGAGCAAGAGGTCACCGGGTCATAGCTTCCAGGGGCCTCTCAAAGGATGATGGTGACTAATGGTTGCCGCCATGATCTGTACAGAGAATCCCAACACCAAAGCGACTCCATCCTTCCAAGCAAAGAAACAAGTCTCATCACACGCTCCTCCACTGATGGCAGCGACAACAAAAAATCATTCCCATGCTTTGTCCAGGGACCAGGGATAAGCCACTAACGTCACCAGCGGCCAATTGGAGGGCTCCTGCTGGTGCCGGGAGTACTCAGGACGTTTCATAATGAAACCCATGCAGCGAGCTCCGTTTATTTTGAAACCTTATTTGCTTATTTTGTAGACGTGGTCAAAAGGACATTCAGAGGGCTCCCCGGGAGGCACTTGAACCCTGTGGGCCAGGAGAGCTTTCTCCAGCTCCAGCAGCAGCCAGCAATAATACTCTCTGTGTGAGTAAACTCCAGAACTTGCTATTTCCCAACAGCAAGCACCATCCCCATTTTGGTCAGCTTCCCAAGTCCATGGCTGGTTTCAGGAGTGGGAAGGTGGAGAGGGAGAAGTAGGAGACAGGGTGGAGAGTGACAAAGAAATGGCCAGGAAAAGAGTTTCAGCTCTAAAATAATTTAGGGCCCTGCTAGAAAATCAAGCAAAGCAACTTGAATTTGGGCTCATGAATCAGACAGACATGGGTTCAAATCCCAACTCCACCCTTTACCATTGGATTACCTTGGGCAAATTACTTACTTTTCCTGTGCCTCGGTTGCCCTATCTGTGAAATTATGTAAATAACAGTACCTACCTTGTAGAGTTGTCATAAAGATTGAATTTAAGTGATATCAGGCAAAAATATAAAATACATATGTATCTATTGGTTGCTAAAAGTATTGTTATGGTGATGATTTTAGACTATGAGCTTCCTGAGGAGAGACACTGTATCTCAGTCATCTCATCTTACCCAGGGAGGAAGAACAATGCCCAGCATTTAGTAGGAGATCAATAACTGCTTGTCGAATTTAATTGTTTGAACTGGACTTTGAGCTCAAGCAAAGAGACTCTTCCCCACCAGCCTGCCAGGTAGGAAGTGGCTGCCTTATTTCCAGGCTGCGGCTTGGAGCGGGTTAAGCCTCCACAAGGCTGCAAGACCCAGGCCATGCACATCCATCAACGAGACAAGAGCTTTACCTTAATATTGCAGTTGTCATCGAGCAGTATATTTTCCAGCTTCAAGTCCCGGTGGACCACACCGTTCTGAAATGAGAAGACAAAGAGGGAATTGAATGGGAGCGGCTGGGATGAGAACAAGAGAGAAAGAGGAAGAAGGAGGGTGCGCAAAGGGAAATGTCTGACAGATTAAAGAAATGCGCCAGCCCGGTGGTCTTCGCCTCCATCCTTCAGGCTGCTCTCACTGTCTTGACGCTCCCCCGCCAGCGACCGACCAGCGACAGGAGAGCATTAGTCACTTGCTGTGTGGTTAAGGGAAAAATGACTGGAATCTGTTTTCCCCCAGAGCCTGTAAAACAGCAGGGGGATTCTTTGTCGGAATGTAATTCCACTGTGTGAAAGCAATATAATCCCAGGCAGCGGCAAACAATGTCTGTCTGGGATGGGATTCCCAGGGAAGAAGCAGATTTCTCTGCTGGGGACTCAAGACTTGTGGGGCTCACAGGCACTCCTCGTCTGTCTGTCTGTCTGTCTGTGTGCCTGCCTGCCTCCCCAATGCTGGAAAGACATCTGGCTCAATCTATTGCGACCCATTTTGATCTGTCCTGAGGATAACATTTCCTAAGCAGCCTGGAGAGAAGGCTAAGAAAGTCCCTCTCTGCTCAGCAGGACTCAGGGCTGGGTGAAAGGTGAAGCGTGAGCGCAGACCAGTGAGACCGGGACCACTGGCCTGACCGAAGCAGGTGGCTGCCGTCCTGCCTGACCTTTCCATTCAGGCAAACTCTGGCAAGGCTGGAGGCTGAACTTCAATGACCAGCAGCCAGCCAGCTGAAATGTGAAAAGCAGTCATCAGCCAATAGGCTGTCGGTCTACACAGCAGTAACCATTAGCCTTCTTCATTCTTTTTTAAGACTATCTTTTTTATTATCTTTTTAGGGGGTGGGTGAGCATGGGAAGAGCAGTGGGCCTGAAAGAACTGGCTATTTAGGGGTGCGTGGACAAGTAGCGGGGGGCACTGAATGATTCTGAACATCATTCAGCATAAAGGACATCTGCAATCAAAGCTGCTCTTTTGAGGAAACCAACAGGCATGTTGATGGGTGGTTCTTTCTTGTTTATTTTCCTTTTCGTTTGACCATTCTTAATATCTCCAAAAGCACTGCTCCGAGGGAGGAATGAAAACATGTATTTCTACTAATCTTTTTCTAATTCAAGCCTGCAAGGAGGCCTTCTGAATTCAGAAATGCACAAAGCCAAGTCTCTTAGAAGAAAGATGTCGACTATAAGGCGCCTGATTCCATTAATTTTAAATATCAGGAGCAGTTTGGTTTACATTGCTTCATTCCTGGTTTTCGTAATAAGATGGAATGAGTCTAATAAAGCCTCATTCATACAGAATCCAAGTGTTCACACACTTCAAATCACAAAACTATCATCCCTATGGTGATTTACAATGATACGTGATGATGAAATACAAAATATTATACGATTCAAATCATGAGCACATTTTGAGTCAACAAAGAGAGGTCAAACAATGTTCACACGGGTTAAGGGTTTTAGATTTGAGTAACTGTCTTCTAATTACTTACAGAGCCACTCTCAATTAAACACAATATTTAACAAACCAGGAGGCCCCATGTTGCGATCATTTGTATAAACAAGTTGACTCTGTTTTGGATGCCCTGTTGGACTCAAGTCACATTATCCTCAAAGTAAATGACTGTTCAGGGTGTGACAGATCTGGAGAAAGTCTGAATGAGATGAAAATCATGGTCAAAATGAGTAATAACAATAATGGCTGAGACATGGCTTGTAATTATCTGTGTTCTTCATGCCTTTTCCAGAAACCAAGAGTGGCTGTACTGTGGCTATATTATTATTATTATTATTATTATGATTTTGGAGATGGGGTCTCACTTTGTCACCCAGGCTGGAGAACAGTGGCACCATCATAGCTCACTACAGCCCTAAACTGCTGTGCTCACGGGATCCTCCTGCCTCAGCCTCCCAAACAGCTGGGACTACAGGTGTGCAACCTCATGCCTGGCTACTTTAAAAAAAGTTTTTCAAAGATGGATCTTGCTATGTTGCCCTGGCTGGTCTTGAACTCCTGGGTTCAAGCAATCCTCCCCACTCAGCCTCCCAACTAGCTTGGATTATCTTCTGAACACATCCCATCGAGGTGTGCTGTAATAAGACGTATGTGCATACAGGTAACCTATGCAAGAAAAGGGCCCAAGAGTATAGAAAGGTTTCAAGAACATTTCTCCCAGTAATTCTACTTCTGGAATCTCTCTTAAGTAAATTATTCACATGAGAGGAAAATATTCATATATAAATATATTGATCACTATTTGTAATAACCAGAAATTAGAAACAGCCTCAATGTCCAACAATCAAGAATCACAAAGAATTTTTAATAATATAGGAAAACATTTAGATCAAAGTATTAAGTAAAAAAGCATGACACAAACGATGTAAAATTGAATCCAGTGTGGTACCCTAGATTGGATGCTGGAACAGAAAAAGGTCATTGGTGTCTCCATTTTGACAAACGTATCACAGATATGTAAGATGTTAATATTAGGGTAAACTGAGTGAGGCATAGATGGGAACTCTCTGTACTACCTTTGAAACCTTCCTGTAAATCTAAAATTATTCAAAATTAAAAGTTTGCCTAAAAAAAAAATGTGAGAAGGAGGAGGAAGAAAACTGAAAAGAAACAAGTGAAAATGTCAAAAATGGGTTATCCCTGGATTCCAGAATCGTGGGTGATGGTAATTTTCTTGTTTCTAGTTCATAAATTCTCCATACACGTTGCCATGAACAGATATCACTTTTATAACAGGAAAAAAATCATGCAGTGCCATAAAAACCATCTATGGCCAAAGCTGCGGGCCAGTCGCAGCCGTACCTTGTGACAATAGTGCACGGCGGAGACGATCTGCCGGAAGAAGTGCCGGGTCTCCCTCTCACTGAGGCGCCGCCGCTCACTGATGTAATCGTACAGCTCCCCTTTGCTTGCATATTCCATGATGATCACAATCTTATCTTTGTTCTCAAACACTGCAGAGGGAAAACAGCAATACACAAACACCCTGTTTAGCCAACAAGCTCACTTATGCTACAGAGAATGAGAGAGAGGACAACGGAGACGTCGCCAGGCAGAGGACCAATCAGTCAATTCAGCATCACGAGGCACTGGGTGTGCTGTCCCGCCAGGTGGGCAATGGTGTGTGTCACCGCCATTGTTTCTGGACACGCCTTTGTCATGCTAAGGGAAATGTGGTTCTCTTTTCTGAGGACCCCACTCTCCTTGTAAGATCATTCTCACAACCCTCTCCCGAAACGGCTCTCCTGTAGACAGAATAATGGGTAACAATAAACACTACTAATAATTTATTAACCATTGGATATAGACCAGGTACCCAGTCCTGATAGAGCTACTCTGACCCCAAAATGGGTGCTCAATCTTGTCATCTCTTTATAACTTCCCATCTCAGGCAAATAAAACCCAAAGCTTTTAATGTGGCCCACCAAGTTGTGCACGATCCCATGGGCCCCTCTCAGCCCTACTACACATTCATTCCATGTATTTGTTTATTCTGTCTCCCCCAGTCAAATGTAAAAGGGGGTTATCCAGTTTCACTCACTGGTGTATCCTCAGCAGCCAGAACAGTATTTGGCACATAGTAACATAGTAGGAGCTCAGTTAATATTTATTAAATGAGTAAACTCAAACTACATAAAGGCATTTTTGAACATTAATAATAAATAACAATATAGCACTTACTATGCACCAAATTTGTGTGTAAGGTTTTAAGTACCTCACGTGTACTGACTCGTTTAAACCCTACAACAAACGATCAGGGAAATATCTGTAATTTTACTGTTTGAAAGATGAAGACAATGAGTCCTACAGAGGTTAAGAATCTGGCACAGCCTGCAACCAAGCAGTTTGGCTTCAAAGATCAAGTGCAGAGCCATTAGATGGATGGCCTCCCAAAGAGCTGGCTGGAATCAGCAAGGCTCCGGCCCCCAGCATGGATGGGGAACTAACGCCGCAGCCTGCAGGGCTGCTGCTACTGTCATCTCAAGCCGGCTCCCTGCCACCAGGTCCAGCCCCTTCTCACTCAACCTCCACACCACCAAGGAAACAGTCTCCCCAAATGCTTGTAAACGCTTCTTTCTCTCCAACTCTATGCTCTCTAGCTGTGATGTTCAAAGACAGGGTTCCAGGCAGATGGCCAGGGACCCATGCGTGGAGGCAGGGAGAAGGGAGGCCACAAATGACAGGCTGTCCAAAGCCACTCCATTGCCACCTGTTTCATACTTTGGACTTTCACATAAGATGTCCTTTGAGCAAGGATAAAATAAGCAATATTTGTTCTGAAATCCATCATCGCTCTTAAGGGATATAGTACAAAAACCTTTGCAGGGTACCCAAGACCCTCCCTGAAGGTCCCCTGCCTACCTCCCTCCATCTCATCCACTTTTCTAACATTTCCATCAGGCCCCCTATGCCCAGCACCCTAATTCATTAGCCAAGAATGTGCTCATACGTGGTTTCCACAGCACCCCTCCCACTGCACTAGTCAATACTTGCCTCATAGCACATGCAAACTGCGCTATGGTTTATTTCCTGGTTTACATATCCATGTCCTCTGCCTAGATGGACGGAGCTAAAAACTATAGTGTTGAAATGAGATACTCCTAGAGCTGTGTGATTCTAGGGATGTTGCTTGCCCTCTCTGGGCCTCAGTTTAGTCAACTATAAAACATGAATAATATTAGCAAGTATTTAGAACTGCTGGGAGGACTTCCTGATATCAGGTATGTTCAATGTTTACAAGGCCTTCCCCTTACAGCATACACTCAATAATGTTAGCTAGTATTGTTGCTATCAATACTAATTCATCCCCAGAGCCTAGTACCAAGGCAGACACACATTCAATGAAGAACTGAGTTAACCTGGAACCTATCCTAGGCCTGGGTTCCCTGTCCTCCCATACCTTGTTGCTGGCTGCTAGAAGCTCAGACCCCTCCAGTTCCTTTTTGGCTCCTTCAAGTCCAGCCAAACCTCCCTGATAAAATGAAGGGGAAGGAGGAGGGTAGGGAGGAGGAGGAGAGAACATCCAGATAAAATTGGCTGCTCCAGCGTCTGCTGGCCTCGGTGTACCCTGCAGCTTTGGCTCCTGCCAGGGATTTCAGCCTGTTGTGCACTTTTCATTAACAATAAACTCTGGAAACTGGAAACATCCCGACTGCCTCGGGATGCATGGCTCAGGCCCCAAAAACGAAAGAGTGATAGGCCCTGGAGAGGGCAGCGGGTTTTCTAATTTTAAAAAGAAGGGATGTAGGAAGAAGGAAAGTACTTTGACAGATAAACAAACAAGAAACCTCATACCCCAAAGAGTCTGGTGCATCTTTAAGGGAGCCAAAGCCTCTGGCCCTTCAGTGACTATCGGGAGGTGTGGACCACTCGCCTCACACAGGCAGAAGGGCTGTTTCAACGGCTGGATTCTTCCCTCTCCAACTGACTGATTTGGTATCAAGGAGACATAAACACAATTCGGCACAATACAGTCCAATACACCAGATATTTTACTAAGCAGCTTCCATCAATAAGTCCTACTGATCCTGTCTCTACAATGTATCCCGAGTCCAGCCGGGCACGGTGGCTCATGCCTGTAATCCCAGCACTTTGGGAGGCTGAAGCAGGTGGATCACTTGAGGCCAGAAGTTACCAGACTGGCCAACATGGTGAAACCCCATCTCTACAAAAAATATAAAAAATTAGCTAGGCGTGGTGGCAGGTGCCTGTAATCCCAGTTACTGGGGAGGCTGAGGCAGGAGAATAGTTTGAACCCAGGAGGTGGAGGTTGCAGTGAGCCGAGATCACACCACTGCACTCCAGCCTAGACAACTGAGTGAGATTTCATCTCAAAAATAAAATAAAATATATCACAGATCTGTCTACCTGTCTCACCTCCAAGGACACCCCTTACCCCCATCCTTACTGGTTGCCAGCCTTTCACACTTGCCTCCCTGCTGACTGCATTTGGAGGGGTCAAGAAATAGTTCCAAATGCATATTCCATGGGGTACTCATTCTGCAAGCTGTCTTGAAGAAGAAAAGAATTCCACAGTCAAACACAAGCCAAACGTTAATACTTGATTGTCCTTGGAGAACCTGGTTTCCTTAACTCAGTTGATTGGGCCATTTCAGTCCTCCAATTGGCATCCAGAAGAACTCATATGGAGCCAGTTCGGAAAGCACTGGATGAATGAGATGATATCCGAGGGACAAAACTGGCCCCTCGCTCTTAGGCAGGGCCAGTGAGCAAGGTGGTCAGAGAACTGTCCAGGCGGCCAGGCCTGGCTCTGGGACACCATCCCCTAGTTCCTCATAGGAAGCAGCCCATGTCTGCCACTTTAAATTAACTGAGAGCAAACAAGATTCCTAGACTTCAAGCCTCAGTGTTTCATCAAGCAGGCTGGGGGTGTTACAGATGAAGCTTCTTGAAGGCTTTCTTAGTAACAGCAAAATTTGCTGTAGGCAAGCACCACGTGCAGGCACCACGCTAACAAGCATTCTGCATGAATTACATCATAAGGATTTGGTACTATGAGGATCCCCGTTTTACAGATGAGAACACCCGGGGACAAGGTGAATAATAATTCCCGTAACTACAAGGAGTACGAGGCACAGCCAGCTCTGCGCCCAGCAGTCTGACTGCTGCCCCCAAGCTCTTAGCCACTCCATTACTACTCATATATCTCAACCCCTCTGACCCTCGGCCTCCTCATCAGTCCAATGAGACTAGTAATTTCCTCACAGGTCTCTCGCCCTCAGCACGGTGCCTCGGCCAGTGCTCAACAAATGGAAGCTGTTCTCACAATTACTTCATCAGCCACTTAGGCAGCTCTAGCAAAACAAAACCCTAACACTTTCCTCTCCCTGCTGGCATCGCTCTTTAAAACATGTTGTGGCTGCCGCAGAATCACAGCATTTTCGAGCAGGAAAGGACCTTAGAGAGCGGGTGTTATTTTTCCAGAATAGTCTAGGATTTATAATGCATAAGAGCAAGGCCTTGGGAATTAATACCGAAGAATGAGCAGCTTCCGCACCCTTGGCCCAACGCTCCTTTGCCCATGCTTAAGGTCACTATCTACAAGGTGACAGGGATACTCTTGGCCATTCTTCTAGCAAAAAACGGCTGCTTCCCTTGGGCACTTTTACAACTGGTTATTTATAAGCCCAGAAATCTTGTCTGTGTTTATGTTATTAGTCACTAAGCAAAAGCTTATTTTCCACCAGTTGGGAAGGGTTTCCTTTCTGAAAAATGAAAGCCTGTGTCTCTTGGCCAGACAGTTTTACCCAGAAGCCTGGTGGCTCCAGAATGGTAAGGAAAACTATGGCCCTTGACATGCCAGGCCTACCAGGAAAATTAAATCCCTGAATAGAAACTTAGCTCAGCCTGAGTCAGCCCACAGCACTGGGGCCATGGCCAGGTGGTGCAGAGCCTGGATTTAGCACAGCAGAAAGCACCTACTATGCAGATGGCACTGGGGATACCGAAAGAAGACTGTTCCCAGTTTGGAGGGGAAGGAAAGGCAGGCCAGGTAGAAGGGTCAGCAAGAGGAAGGGAACAGAGCAGAAACAGAAGCACCAGCAACTGGCAGGGCCAGGGACTAGGAGGAGAGAAAGAAGAGGGCGATGAATAAAGCACAAGAACTTGAAGGCCCAGAGGGAGCTGCAGGTGAGCCACACAGGCAACCAAACATCGCCGAGAACAATCCAAGAGACAGGAGCAAGGCACAGGACAGCATCCAGGATCCTGGACCTACGAAATTGTTCAGGGCTCAATTTTTTCCAGGAGACTTCCCAGACAGGGATCTCTCCTACCCTAGAACGCTTGTAATAAGAATAGTTAACATTTATTGAAGAGTTACTACATGTCATGGATTAAAACATTTATTCCTCACAACAATCTTATGAGATAGGGATCCGTATTATCCCTACTTTATAAATAGGGAACCAAGCCAGGCATGGTGGCTCACACC